GGCTCTTCCTAATATAGCATTGAAAGCTGATTCCATCTTAATGACCAGGAAGGTGACGGAAGCCATCCTGAAGCGTGGTTCTGAGCCCACATATATAGGAAGAGTGATAACTCCCTCGACCGGGATGGGCTGGTTATCAAACCCGTATATTGGCCCTTCGTGCTTCTGCAGCGAGCTCGGATTTAGCTGCATCTTCTGGAAGCAACTCCAATACAGGATATCTAGCGAACTGCCAGTGTCAATAAACACCTTATTGACATTATGATTGCTTATATGAACTGTTGCCACAAAGGGATCGGCATGGGGCATCATAATGTCAAGCTCTCCTTCTGCTCGCTTGTAATCTGCCGGGCTGAATGTGATAGGTGTATTCTCCCATTCTGCTTCCTCAAATGGCTGCTTCAAGGGTCTATTTTTGTTGACAGTCATCACCTGTCGGGCGTATGCCTTGCGAGCTCGGGCGTTTTGGCCCCTAGAGTGAACACCACCTGATATCATGTTTATTGTACCCGAGGGCGGGGGTATCCCAGCATAGCCTACCCCTTTCTTATCTTTTTGGTTCTGGGCAACAGCTCTCTGTACCTGTCCTCTCCTGTTGAACGGACGCCCTCTGTATGCTCTCCCCTGATCAGGAGGATACTGGCTATCCTGATATACATTCTGCGCCCCGCCGAGCTGGTACCTCTGCCCTTGAGGTCGGTCATAACCCTGTACAAAATGAGTTTGAGTGGGTTGCTGGGCGTGGGGCTTCTGAACATATCCTTCTAGCTTTCCATTGCGAGCCAGAAACTCCAGCTCGTCCTTCAAGTGTTGGCAGTCTTCGGTATTGTGGCCATACACACGATGGTAGTCACAATGTTTGCTCTTATCTGCTCTTGGGGAATCATGCAATGGAGGCGGAGGTCTCCTAACCCAGTGCTGGATTTGCGCAAGGATTTGAGACCTTGGCAGGGTTAAAGGAATGTAGTTGGCATACTTTGGGAAGTCAGCGGGCTTCCCCCACTGCTCGCCAACTTTCTGTTTCTTCTTTTCTTCCCTTCTCGGTGGCTGTTCCTGGCTTTTGCTTTGCTTATCGTCAGCTCGCCGCTTGGACGACTGGAAGTCTTCTGATAATATGAAGCTAGCCGACCTGTCATTCACTTCATTCCAAGTCCTGGGTGGGTTCTCTAGCAGGTCGTCTAGAAACCGACCACGCTTCAACCCATGCAACAATGCAGACAGACAGATGGTGTCTGGGACGTTGTCAATGTCCAGGGTGGCTTTGTTGAATCGCTGCATGTAGTCTCTCAAAGATTCCCCTTCCCTTTGATTAACTTGCATCAGCTCGGTGGCTGTGCGTTTGATCTCTCTCTGGCTCGCGAATTTGTTGGAGAATAGCTTGGCGAGCTGAGAGTATGAGTCTATAGAATGTCTGGGGAGTTTGTGATACCATCTTCTGGCTGTTGATTTCAGTGTCGCTGGGAACACTTTGCACATCATGGCATCATTGGCATTTTGAATCCTCATGATGGCTTGATAGGTATGCAAATGTTCATCTGGGTCACCCGAGCCATCATATGTCTCTAGGTGGGGAATCTTGAATCCCTCTTGATATGGTTCTGCTGTGATGGATAAGTTCAATGGAGCATTATCCAAATCAAGGGTTTGTTGGTGCGACCTAGGACTTTTCAGCTCGTCAATGGACTTCTGTACGTCCCGCAACTGCCTTTCAAGGTCTGCGTTTTTTCTCATCAATTCTTCACTATGTTTGGATGAGCTGGGTTCGTTATTCAACTTCCCACTTCCCCTTGGCCTGGTCAGCACCACTACGTTGCTTAGAGCAGGGGAGTTTCGAGTTGCAACCATCGTAGCTAGTTGTGCATCCCTGTTTAACAGAGGAATCAGGGGGTCATCCGGAATCAGGCGGGCAAGGATTTTACCCATTGCCATTTCCAGGATTCTGGTTCTCTCTTCGAGCTCGGTTGTCCGAGCAGGTTCTGTTGACCTTTCAGGTCGTTCACGCTGTGAATTGTATGGTCTAGAAGGTCTTGACCTTGTCCCTGTTGGAACTTGGAACTGTTCAGGCTGGGTTGCATACCCCGTTGGCGTTCTTTCATCATCATCTGTTTCACTTAGGTGATCCTGTTCGGCTCCCCCTACAAAAAGATTTCTTGGCATTGGCCTAAAGTCATTCAAGCCGGGTTCAGATACGTGAGTGTCGTCCTGTTCGTCCATTTCATTTCTTGGAGGGCGGCCTCCTGTAAAGGTATGGACCATTTTGTCTTTCAGCAGGTTAAGTCACACAACTTCTTGTTCGAGTTCCCACAGACGGCGCCAAATGTTTGGGCAGCTTCACAATCCAACACTGTTGAAGTCTTCAGCTGCTTCTACACCTGAAAATCCCGAGATTGTTTCCTCGGGAAAAACACTCCGACGCTCAAGTCAGCAATACTCAATATTATAGAGAGAGATGCTCTCAAGGAGTAATTGCGGAGAGAGAGGCGTAGAGATTAATTACCTTCATTGGAGGTAGTTGGGGGGTATTTATAGCCCCTTGGTGCTGACATACATCTGCACGTGTGAGCACCCCATTGGCCCACGTGGCGCTGGTCACGTGGGTATGCTTGTACTG